GTTTATATACAGAAATGTGTACAAATATATGTAAATATTGACTTTAATAAAGTTTGCTAAGCAAGGTTAAGCTAGTTATAAAATATATATATATATATATATATATTTGGTACAAAAATAAATTATTTATTTTATTGTCAAAATATTAACTTCTTTAAAATGAGATTTAAAAAAAGTATATGTTTATGTGCCAAATAAATTATATGCCATTTTATAGCTAAATATAAAAGTTATATAAATTTGATTAGCTGAATTATATACTTTTTTGATAAATGATTGATAAGTAGTATTATACCAAATAAATCAATTTTGATTAGTATTAGACAAACTATATCAATTCTTAAACAATACATATAGTATTCAAGAGATGGTTATTAATAGATCTAAACAATTTCCTAGCAAACTATTATATCTTGAAAAATTAAATTTAATTGTATTTTCTGAAATCTTGAATTTATTGATTGAATATTATAAAGCTTCTTATAAACCTATAAACTTTTGAAGATTATTTGTTAAAGATATTAATAATAATTCAATAATTGTTTAAAATAGAATCAATTAATATAGAAGATGTTGAATTAGAAGTGAAATTTTTGATTTTATTATATTATAATAAAATATAAAAGATGGAAGTATTAATTACTGTATATCCAGGACAAGTTCAATTTTTCTTTACTTATTTGATCAACTTATCGAAAAATATAGCAAAATATAATTTAGTTTTTATTTAATAGTTTAAACCTATTAATTTGACAAATATCAGGTTCTATTTTGAATTTGAAAATAATATAAATATTAAACTATAAAGTACTGAATTTTATTTAATTAAATATAAATGTATAATTTTTATCACAATATTTTTGGCTAATTTATTTTAAGATTTCAAATTAATAAAATTCTTATAAATATTTAGCTATTATTTTTTTAAATTGCAAATACAATATATAAAATTTTATCAAAATATATATAATTTAATAAAATAATATAATTTGACAAGATAATATAATTTAAAAAAGTAATATAATTTAGTAATATATATTTAACAAGGTAATATAATTTGTCAAAGCAATATAATTTATCAAAGTAAATGTAATTTGGCAAAATATATATATTTGATAAGGTAATATAATTTGATAAAAATATATATATACTGTATATTTGGCAAGATAATATAATTTGACAAAAAATAAATTATTTATTTTACTGTTGAAATATTAATTTTTGACAAAATAAGATTTAAAAAAAAATATATCATTTATGTACCAAATAAATTATATGCTGCTTTATAGTTAAAGATAAAGCTATATAAATTTGATTAATTAATCAAATTATATATTTTTTTGACAAATAATTGACAAGTGACATTATATTGAATAAATCAATTTTAACTAGTATATAACTTGTTTGTTAATCTAGAATACAGTATTATCATTATTTTTTGAATAATTTATGAAAAAAAATTTAATATTAAATTTAATATTTGAATTTATTCTTTTGAAATTTTTTTTATAAATTATTTATTAAAAAATATTATAATTAATTATATTTATTTAAGTAATTAATTATTTTTGTAAGTTACTGTATTATATTATATTAAATTAGTTTAATATTTAATTTCAATATTTTTGATTTGATATCAATATTGCAAAGTTTTATACTGAAAATTTTTAGTAATTACTAATAATGATATCAAAAAAAATTTTTAGTATCAGTTTTACAAAATACTTTATCAAATAGTATTAATCAAAATCTTATTTGTCATATTATATTTGTATATATTGTTTAGTGTAAGAAGTTTATTATAAATAAGTTTAGTTTTGAATATCTTGTCTTTTATTTGCTTGAATAAGATATTGAATATATTTTTTTCTTTATAATATTTTCAAAATTCTTTTTAATCAATTTTCTTTAAATTTTGAATATTTTTCTTTTATTTGAATTAGATTTTGTTTTGGTTAGTCTATTGGATTAATATTTTTCTTTTATTTAGATCTTTAATGAATAATTTTATTGAGATATTTATTAAAATACCATTTCAAAAGAAAATTAAGATTGGAAGAATTTTGAATAATTCTTTTTAAAAAATTTTTTGCTTTTCTCTAGTTGTTTTAGCTAACTAGTTGACTTGATTGTTAGCAATATCTTAATTATATATCTTGACTTTGGTTAGTATTACTTAAATTTTTTTTTTAAGATTATATATAGTATATATATTTAAAGTTATTAATTGAAAATTTTCATCTTCTTTTTGATAGTATTTTTTGAATAAAAATTTTTTAATTTCTAATATATATTGATATAATTAGTACTGTTTATACATATTTTCATATTACTATAAAAGAAAATTTGATTGACAATACAATTCTAAATTAAATACAATTTTCAATTACTTATTAATTGTTACTTAGTAATATAAACATAATACGGTTTTTGAAAAATATTTGAATTAAATATAAATATATATATAGTATTGTCCATTCAAATTTTTATTTTACTTTTATTTAGTACTATTAAAATTGTCAAAAAGATTGTTATAAGTTCAATTTTTATTAATAATGATCAATTGTTTATTTCAGTTTGAAAAGTTTTCTTTAAATAAGATTCTTTAATTTAAAATTAAACTGCACATATTTTAACTATTTAATTTTAAGTTTTACTTATAGATCCATTAATATAATATATTTCTTAATATTGACTATTTTTATTAAGCTTATATTCTGTACTTAATTCTTAACTTAATTCAAAAGTTTTGATATTTTTTTATATAATCTAAATTCTATAATTAACTATTTCAATTCTTGTAAATTTGAATATGTTAAGCTTTAAATTTGGTTTAAATATAAAATTTGATTTAATTAAATTTTCAAATATATAAATCTCTATAGAAATATATAATTCTTTGCTTTTCTTTAGTTTGAAGATCTTATTAATTCAATTAAATAACAATAATAGTTTGTTTCTAATAAAATTTATTGAATTTGAATCTGTTTGAATAAGTTTTATTGAATTAATACTTGTATTAACTACTTGAAAAACCTTTATTTCTTGTCTTATAGAGTTGATAATCTTTTTGTTTTTATATTAAATAAGATTATATTTTTTTTCTAATTATATTTACTATTTCTATTTTCTTGTATCTTGCTATAATGTTTGAAAAAAATGTTTTTGTTTTAATATATCTATTCTTATTTTGTCAATTTAGATTAAAGACTTCAAATTTGTTAGTTATATATTTTTGAACTTTTATATACTAGTGAAGTTTAGATTTTCTATTGTAATTATATAGAGACTGAATTAGTTTTCAACTCAAAAAAATATTGATTTCTGCTTCTATAAGTTAGTTAATAAACATAATATTATATTTTTTTATAAATTTGATTGTATGATTATATGTTGATCAATTATTTAATAATGTTTTTATTAAATAGGTTTCTTTAATTTATTGAAAGTTATCTATCTATTGAGAATTGAAATACATTTCTTATACTGTTTGCAACTTTAAGAATTGCTGCTAACAAATTTGTTTTTGATTATTTTTGTATTATTAATTTTATAAATATGTTTGTAGGTTTTTATTATAGAATTTGAGCTTGTTTAAAACAAATAATCATAGAAATGTTTAAATGTCCAGAATCATTAAGCAAGCTAGTAAAGTTAAAAATCTGGTTTTTTAGTTGAATTTTATTAATACTTTTCAATCAAGACAAGTATTAAAGTATTATATTTAAAAGTTTGTATATAAAGTAATTAAATTATTATATATTTTATATTAAAATTAAATAAAATTTATAAATATTTGTTTAATTATTAAAAAAAAAAAATCATATTTAAAATTTTTATTTGATTTTAATAATTTTTTATTAAAAATATAATTATTGTATTTTTTATAACATGTACCATTATTCTTAAAAATATTAGGCAACCCAGCATTTAACTTATTGTAAATCCAATTTATATAAAAGATATTATTATTATTATATTTTTTTAGAATATATACAGTATTTGCAATATATAAACAAAATCTATATTGAATTGTATATTAAAGTGATATTGTTTGAAGCCTTATAATAATCAAGCTATTTTTTTATTACAATATCTAATACTTTTTAAGTAACAAATAAATACGTAAATATTTTTATATATGACGTGCAATTGTAATTTAAATTTGGACGAAAATCGTTTATCATGTAATTCGTGACTCGTATTCACATACTAAATTTAAAAATAACAGAAACTTTTTGTTCACTCGGTTCTTTAGTTAACACAACAAAATGGGAAAGGGCACTGATAAAATGTAAGTGGTTTTAATGTATGTAATGTAATTCTTTGACAATGAAAATTTTTATTGACATTCATTTCAATTACCAAAGGTACATTACCCACTCTGGTAACTTTTCAAAACTTTATATGTACATTTTAACATTTCTGCATTTAAATCAAATCTTTTCATGTTAGAGTGGTCCGGTGAATTTGGCGGCATGCAGTTCGGTGGTATTCTTGCAAGGAAAAAAACGCAGATTTTCAAGAGACTTCCATTTGATCATTGTTCATTGTCGTTGCAACCATTCGAGCATCCTGTATGTACTCCCGATGGCATTATATTTGATTTAAGGTAATCTTCGCGATAGTTTCACGCAGATATGCAACAATAGATTAATTAATGTTTGTGTATCTAGAATAATCTACCCTTACATAAAGAAGCATGGAACAAATCCTGTTACGGGCGAAAAATTGGAACCTAAATCGCTTATAAAACTTAATTTTTCCAAGAATTCTAGTGGTTCGACAATTTTCTTTATGTTTGATTGACCCTTTTTTGATTCTCATTGATCTAACATATTTATATAACAGGCGAATATCATTGTCCTGCTACATTTAGAGTGTTCAACGACCATACACATATAGTTGCAATCAAGACAACGGGAAACGTATATGCTTATGAAGCGGTTGAACGCTTGAATATAAAGGCAAAAAACTGGAAAGATTTACTGACAGAGGAGCCATTCACTAGAAAAGACATCATAACTATACAGGTATCATCATTTCTTGTCTTTATTTCGTGAAATGCAGTCATTTAACTGTTCCTGATTTATCAAATACTAGGATCCACATAATCTTGAGTCGCGTAATCTATCAAACTTCCATCATCTCAAAAATGATCTAAAAACTAATGAAGGTAAAAAGGTATTTTTTTTAAATTTCCGTTGGCTTTATTTATGGATTATCTAAAAGGGGGTTTTTTTTTTGAAGATAAATCTGCGAATAATGATCCGCTAAGTGACATAAACGTCGGAGCAACCGGTTCAGCAGCTCGTATATTGACGAAAATTTCTGGTCAGGTGAATTATATTTAATATTTTACCATTACCAATTTATTTCAACTGAAATTATACTTACTTTTATCTTCTTTTAATTAGGAAGATGAATCTTCGGATCAGACTAAGGATACTGACGTCGAATCTAAGACCAATTCGAGCGTCACCAAAGCTTCATCCTCACCTTCTCTGATACGTAAACCAAAAAATGTACCTTATAATGCGGCGCCATATACACGTGGGCTTGCGGCCGCTTCTTTCACTTCTACGGCAATGACACCTGTGACAGAAAATGAAAATGCGCTCATTGATGAGGATGAGTTCATGTTCAGAGAAATTAAATCAAAAGGTTATGTTCGTATAGCGACCACCCTTGGAAATTTGAATGTGGAACTTTTCTGCGATAGGGCAAGTAAATAAATGGTTACATTTCTATCTTCAATTTTGTCTTATATTACTAAATTCTCTGGTTATGTTGATTAGTCACCGCGAACATGTTATAACTTTATTATGCTCGCAAAAAAAGGATATTATAACCGGTTTGTGAAATGATTTCGGTGACACATTTCCAAAATTTGATCTAGCCAGAAAACTGCCTTACCACTTTCATGACAATCCAACAGGACCATATTCCACCGCAAGATAAAGAATTTTATGGTACATATAAATTTATCAAATTTTCTATTTGTGTACTGGCTTAGACAAGTCTTTTTATAGATCCAAGGTGGTGATCCTACGGGTACCGGTAAAGGAGGGGAGTCTTATTGGAAGAAGGATTTCGCTGACGAATTCAAGAGTAACTTGTCTCATAATGAACGTGGTCTATTGAGCATGGCCAATCGAGGAAAGAATACTAATTCGTCTCAGTTGTAAGTGATCGACAAATTCTCCAAAGTTCTTCCGCGGAAGTTTGATTGTTGAGAGATATTGCAATATATATCCAAATATTTATTATATTATTATTGTTTAGTTTTTTCACTTTCCGACCCTGCACTCATCTGGACAATAAGCATACTATCTTCGGTAAATTAGTGGGAGGGAAAGAGGTACTCGATAAAATGGAGTCTATACCTACGGATGATTCTGACCGACCTTTAAGTGAAATCAAAATAATCGAGGTTACAGTCTTTGTGGATCCATATGAAGAATATAAAAAGCGGTTGGAAAAGAAGCTGAGCCGTAAAGCGGGAACTATCGAAGAAAAGAAAATTTCTCCAGAGGCCGAAAAGGTTTGAAATATTACTCAGGATTGTATTTAATTTTGTAGTAAACTCACATGAATTTACCGTAGGATTCGACTACAAATTGGTTTGGCACAAAGTTAACATCACCATCTAGTAAAGTAAAAGATGACAAAAGAGTAGGGAAATATCTAAAAACATCGAACAAAAGAGGCATGGATGATGACGTGGCATCAAGTGAAGATCCTTCAACAGAATCTATTCCGAAAAAACCTAAGCCATCTGGTTATGACTTTGATTTTAGTAAATGGTAATATTTAAAATTCGCATTCATTCCCTTTTCACACTATCATGTCACTAGGTGTTTAGCAATTTTTGGCTACATTATAAGATGTTCAATAAAGATACAATTTAATTAAAATGAAACATCTATTTTTATCTTCAATTATTAATGGTCGTAAAAAAATTCAAACAACTCGCCAAAGATCATCAGTTAATACATAGTCGTATGATTGTCTTGCTGTCCAATCAAATTAAAATTTAGATCTCCTAATTTAGCAAGGCTTCCCGATTTTTAATGATTTGTGATTTTTAATATGAAAATCTGTACTCTTTAAAACCTTTTTCTCGGAAAAGTATATTTATTGTGAACGTTTTTTCCTTCTTACAAAATAACGCTCTTTTACCTTGCTCCTTACAACGCCCTTTACCTTAGTTATCAGCATGAAGCTACCAAAGTTTAACCTGATCTTTATATCACTCGGTCCGATTATGGTGTTTTCAACTTGTCGATTCTTAATTTGCTCGGCACAAACTTCCCTTGAACAAGCGAGATCGAAATTCATGGAAACTTTGCTGGACAAAACTTCCGAACTGGACTATTGCTCAGTGAGTGTATGAGTTGTGAATTTCCAAATAATGCTGTGCAATCAAATCAAAAGCATTAAACAGATCTAGGAGGTTTTAGAATTTGGATTTATTCACAGGAACTTCCTCTTTATAAACATAGCCCTCGGGAACCATAACTGACGCCTGTTGCGATTATAAGACTGTAGAAAGAGTGAACAATGACATTGCACAACAAATACACGAATTAGTTAAAACCGATTTCTT